AATGGAGTACTATCTGTGAAACATAGTGCAGTATTTTGTGCAGATAGTGTTAAGGCGATAGCAGTCTATAAACTAAAATGGTAATTCAGCTCCAGAATTTACTCTGAATACTGTCTAAGTAAATGCTGTTTGACAAAAGCAATGAAATCAGCTATAGTGTGAGGTGAGGCAGCACACAAGAAGAGTATCATAGAGATTTACCTACTGCAGTGGCCTGTAGGAATGACAGTTCTTTTGGTAGGTCCTTTCCCTGACTTCTAAATTTCATTTCCTTACAGAAAGTGCACATTGTAATCATGACATTTGCAGTGGATATTGGTGAACATCTTTTAGCTGAATACCAGGAATCATTTCCATCTTCACCTTTCCTAATAGGATTCCAACTTTATTTAGCATCTGCCTGTCCCTTCCACAGCCCAGGTGCCTCAGAAGCAGTCAACCCCATTCTAAGCTCCAGGGCCCAGGGTGGTTTAAGGAAATCAGAATTTTTCATTTATCTGGCCACAGCCATTTGGTGGAGAAAGGGGAAGCATGTGACATCAGACATAGGTAACCCCAGGCTTTTTGTTTGGAATGCTGGGGATAACATCCCCCATTCTTCCCTGGTGGTGGTTTTGAGTAGATGTTTGCCCAGAACTATTTGAACATCTCCATCTGCTGGGTAATGCCTCCCTGAAGTTCTACCTCTTGACTTCCGGTTGTATAGTAAGACTTCATGCTTATGAAGTCAGTTTGAGTTGCCTTTTCTGTTCCTTGCAGACAAAAGAAAGCATCCTGATTAATAAAACACATGAGATAATAGGATAGATTTTTTTACCCTTATTGTTCTTTTATAGTTACTTTAGTAAGGTTTTAGCAGAGCTGAAGTAAACCTGAGTGTGTTGAATCCACTGTTTGTTTTTATTTTTTTGAAGTATAGCTGACATACTAGTTTCAGATGTAAAACATAGTGATTTGACATTTATATACATTACAAAATGTTCAACCACGGTAAGTGTGGTTACCACCTGTCACCACACCAAGTTGTTACAATATTATTGAATATATTCCCCATGCTGTACCTTTCATCCTTGTGTTTTATTTTCTTATTTCTTTGTGCCTCTTGATCCCCTTCACCTGTTTCACCCATCCCCTGACACTCTTCCCCTCTGGCAACCACGAGTTCTCTGTATTTGTAAGTCTGTTTCCTGTGTATGTGATGATGTTTGTTTTTTAGATTCCACATACAAGTGAAATCATGGTATTTGCCTTTCTCTGACTTATTTCACTTAGCATAGTACACTCTAGGTCCATCCATTTTGTTGCAAATGGCAAGATTTCATTCTTCACTCTATCTTAATTGTCTTTCAATTCTTTTTCTTTCAAAGTATTTGTTTCATCATTATTCACTTTGAGGATTCTAAACATTCCTTTTTTTAACTTTTAAGCACTTTTTTTAGATTTGTTCTTTTATATTAATTTTGTCTGGATTGAATCCATCTTTTGACTATTGATACATTTGGGAATTTTATAATTTTATATTCTCGGCTCATCTTGAGTGGAAGGTTTTTCTTTTCTCTTTCTATGGTGTGTGTGTGTGTGTGTGTGTGTGTGTGTGTGTGTGTGTATTCTCGGCTCATCTTGAGTGGAAGGTTTTTCTTTTCTCTTTCTATGGTGTGTGTGTGTGTGTATTCTCGGCTCATCTTGAGTGGAAGGTTTTTCTTTTCTCTTTCTATGGTGTGTGTGTGTGTGTGTGTGTGTGTGTGTGTGTTGAGAGTGTGTTCAGTTTGTGTATGTGGGAGCTACCCTACCTGCCTACTGGGTTTTCAGTTCCCACTACTCAGAAGTGCAATGCCTCATATTCAGAGCCAGACCCAGTATTGGTGGGGTGGGTGTCCTTGTCCATGACTATGAGGAAAATTGCAGACCAAGTCTCCAGGCCAGAGAACAGTTTGGTTTAGTCCTGGCTGGGAGGCACACTAGGTGACACATTGGAATTACTCAGGATGTTCAGAATGCCTCTCCAGAGTCCCTGATGTTGTTATGCTGTGTTCACCTGCCATAGGCTCCTGAGAAGGCAAAAGTGGGGATGATGTCACTGTGGCTGGGACTCATAGCAGCCGGTTCTTTACAGGATGGAGATTAGAACCTCAATTCCAAACACTCCTGATTTCTTTACTGATAACTCCCCATCTCCTGCTCTTAGAACTCTCTGCTACTATCCATTCACCGGCAAAGGTGATTTTGTTAGCTCTCTGGTTACTCTTCATGGCTCATACTGTATACCAAACCATACATGCTAAAAGTTCTATTTTTGATCACTGTGCTCTTCAGGGTGTAAAATAGCTAACTCTGGAAATAGTATTAGTAAATTTGAAGAAGAAGTGGGAGGTTTGCACTAGCAGATTTCAAGACCTTTTCTGAAGTGATAGTAATTAAGATATTGTGGTGGCAACAGGCTTTTCAGACCAATCAAACAGAAAAGAGAGGCCCATCCAGACCCAGACACATGGAAACTTGATATACAACATTGATAGCATTATAATCCAGTAAAGAAAGAATGGATTATTCAGTCCATGGTGTAGGACAACTGGTTATCTATCATCTATCTGTTATCTACTTATCTTAAAGATGTCTATTTTTCATCATAAACTCTAGGTAGATTAAAGAGCTAAATATGAAAAGCCAAATGACAAAATGTTTAGAAGAAAACAGGATATTTTTATCACACGGAGGTAGAAAATAAATTCAACCAAACACACACAAAAAAACACAAACATAAGATAGGGGGTTGACAGATTTAACTACCTTAAAATATAAGTATTATGTACAAAAGAGGAAATGTACAAAAATTTCAGTGCAGCAATTAGCAATAGTGAAAAATTGGGAGCTACCTAAATGTCCATTAATAAGAGGATGGATGCATTGTTTGTTTGTTGTGGGCAGCTTCCATTTGTTTTGATCATCTAGCATCTGAACCTACTTTCTATGTTTGGGGCCCCCCTTTCTTGCTGTAGCAGAGTGTGCTTCCACTACAGATGACAAAAATGCCAGGGTCTTTCCCAGTTTCCTCCGAAGGTAGGACCCAGGCCCATGACCCAGGCTCCACCACTCCGATGAGCCTGCCCCTGACTTTCCTGCAGGTGCAGGGTACCTAGACCCCCCTAATCAGGGAGGGGCAGCGGCTCCATGTGGCTTCCAGAGGCTGCAGTGGCCACGGTTCTTGCAGCAATGTCCTGGGTCAGCATGGCCAGCAGAGCAAGAGTCTGCCCAGCAGCCATGTTGGAAAAGTCCTACAGCATGATTCGGGACATTTTCCCCAGTAGTGGAATCTGCAAGCCTGATTCTTACCCTTTCCAAAGATTTTGAGCTCTTTAATAAATTGCTTTGTTTTTGTTTGTTTGTTTGCTTAAATCAGCCAGAGTTTGTTTGTGTTATTTGTAACTAAAAACCCTAACCCTCATAGGTTATGGATTATTGCATGTTAATATAACATAACATGAAAATGGCATACACCAAAATCAGGTGTATGAGTGAAATCAGGCAGGAGTCCTTGGCGCTTTCAGTTTTTTCCAAAATTATAATAATGAACAATATATATATATATACAACAAATGTAGTAAAATGTTAAGATTTAATAAAGCTGGGTGGTATGTACTGGACTATTTTAATATCTGAACTATTCCACTACATGCACACATGGATAAACATATACATAAATTTTTACTATAATGAATATAGAACTAATTAGATTCTAAAGGTTTCAGAGCAACAATATTCTATGGATATTATATGCCTCTCTTTCCATAAAAGAAGATCCATGTCTACTAAGTTGGCCTATATCTAAATTCACTAATAAGCATTATGCTGAGAAAGGAAAAAAAAATTGAAAATAGGTCTTTTGGAGCATTAAGGCAAGTACAGAAATAATGTAGTATTTGCATATATGTGTGGGTTTTCTTATGACAAGGAAATACATAATCATTTTGCAGAAGTATTTTTCTATCAAGGGGAGGCATTAAGACATTTCAAAAAGCATGACTTCAACAAACATAACTAGACTTTTATCATATTTACTAAGTTCCTCAAGTTCAGGGTAAAGAAAATGAAGCCAACATTGAATATTTTAATAATAATGAAAGATACTTTTGTAGCTACCCAGAAATGTCAGTTTTAAGTAAGCTAATTAAAATATTTTCTTAAAGAAATTTCAGCATCACATAAAAATTATTTAAACATAATTAAAATTCATGAAATTTGGCTTTATCAGCCTCCTAACATCCCTAGAAGCTTAGTGGAAACATGAACATACCCTGTGTTACAGATGGTAACACTGAGGCACAAAGAAATAGTGAAATTCAGTCACATTGAGAATGGCAGATGATAGATCTGAATTTAACTTTCTGATTTTCATTCAGAAGTATGCTATATGTATTTTCATATTTAAGAGTCAGTGAAACAGCACTAATATAATAGAAAAAAACACATGGGTTCAAATCCTAGCTCTGTCATTCACTACTAATGTGTTTTTGGTCATATATTGAATTTCTCAAGCCTTAGCTTTACCTTCTATAAGAGGGAATGAAGTATCTTGACACATTCTTCTTCTGTTTATTAAGCTGCAAATAACACTCTTGTCTTACTGCTGGTCAATTATTTGCAATCATTTGGATTAGTTGGTCCTCTGAACATACATTTTATGCTTATTTCAGAGCCACATGTACCTGTATAACTAAAAAAGTCTTACATATAGCTCTTTTTTTTAGGAGAGCAAGGTACAGGCTTTTATTTAGAAATAAAGTGAGAGGAAAGAGCTCCTGGCTCACACCAGGAGGGGACAAGAGAGCCCCACATTTTAGCTCTTTTATTGTATTGACAAGTATTTTAGCAAGGTGGCACCTAAAATTCTGTCCAGAATTAAATTTCAATGCTTTAGCAAAGTAGCTGCTTTGGTTCTTTAAATGATGTCCTTTCAGTCCTTTCAATTCTTTGAACATGATTTCTACCTATTACATTTCTAGGCTTCCTCTTCCCACTGAGAATGAGGATACATGGTTTGCTTCCCAACTGGTTTGTCCTGTGGCTCTGAGGAGGACATTGTGTGGGAAAGAAGGGGACACGTGCCATTGCAGCACTTACAGCATCCCTGAAGTATGATCAACTTATAAGAACCAGCTGTCCTCGGTGGATCAGATCATTACAGTCTATATGTTCTCAGCTACAGAAAAGGACAAGACTATCAAAGAAGTGGCCAAAGCGTACAGGGTAGTGAATAGATCTAGAAGCACGCCTTGCATTCAGGTGAGTGTCATGACTACATAGACACATTGTGGAATAACATCTACTCGTGTTACATCTTGAATAACATCTACTCGTGTTACATCTTAATACATTTCCTCAGCCACACAAAGGATCATGGAAGGAATTTTCCCCCCACTCTTTTTACTGAGATATGATTCTCATATAATGAATGTCACAAATCTTAAGGGTATATAGCGTAATGAATTTTTACATGTGTATATGCCTGTACAGTCACCATTCAGAGCAAGATACAGAATATTTCCAGGCCTGAGAAAGCTCCCTCTTACACCTTCTCAGTGAGTTACCCACCTACCTCCCACTCTCACGTAACCACTATTCTGAATTCTGTCACCACAATTTAGTTTTGCCTGTTCTTTATCTTCATGTGAAGATACATGAAATCACACAGTGTGTGTTTTGGAATGCACAGTGCATTTTAATGCTTCCTCTGCCAGAGAATAGGAATGGCAAATACCAGTGATGCCAACATCTTCCCATTCTGTATCCATGACAGACGTTGCTAATCCATCATTCTTTTCAAGAGCCTACACTGGGCTCTAAACTCTATTTTTCTTTCTGCACTCCAAGCAGCCACTACCAGCTGATCTTAGTATGTACTCGTGAAACCTCTTCTACATGATAGCCTTTGCCCTCAACACATTTAATAAGCCTCTAAGTCTTACCAGTTGTATCACTGACTTATTTTCTTATTTGTCCCTTGTTTTGAATCCCACTGCTTCTGCTTATTCCAGGCCTTCCTCCAGCCCATCTGATTCCCTTCAATGGGCTCTTTGATTAATTTCCTACTTCTGGTCTTTGCTTCTCTGATACTTCTTACACATTGCAGGGTGTTTTTTTTTTAAATATATGAATATGACTGCATCTTTCTCCTGCTTAAAACCTTCTAAGGACTTCCCTTCGGACCAAGTCCAAGTTCCTTAGTGTAACACTGACAGCTCACTCCCAGTGGGACTCTTCCCACCCTGTCTGTTCAGCTACCTATCCCAACCCCAGTGGTAGCCCCAGAGGATACATTAAAGAGCCCTTGCAGAGCCCAGGTCTTGTTCTTTATATGGTTGAAGCATGTAAAAGCCACATCACTGCTTGCAAACTGCTTTCAATGAGTTGCCTGTAAGGATGCTGCCTTAAATATGCCCTGAGCTGCTTTTGAGGATGTTACGTTATTTGCTTGAGGTGTGGTATCCCCTATATTAAACACAATGTGAAAATTGCCTTTCTGAATGAGAAGCTAGCAAAGTCGTACTTCCCATGAGGATCTGGTATGTTTCCTCTTCCCTGGTAATGAGATTTTTGGTGCCCAACTGTGTTTCTTTTTTCACTTTGCCTGAAAGTACAGAACAAAGTTTTAGACTGAATTTTTGCAATAGGATAAGAGCTTATGGACTGCTTTTCTGAAATCCATTTCTTCTTTCAGATCCAGAGCCTCTGTTTATATTGAAATTTTCTCATCATAATTTCTAAAAATAATTTTATCTTATACTATTCTTATTTCCTAGAAATTACTCATGTCTTTTGCTTAAAAGGTAGAGAATAAACAAACAATTTAAAATGTGAGTTTCAGCTAAGGAAATACTATTTTGTTGAACAGAGTTGATAGCAAGCTTGCCAGGAGATGATGTTATTTTATAATTCTTAATGGTGAAGAAAGAGAATCTGGGCATAATTGGCTGGGTACCCCAGACTTCCAAAAAGTAGATTCTATTTTAGATCATACAGAGGGAGGGAATGATTCCACACCAGAAACCCTCAAGGGAATCCAAATAAGAGTGCAGAAGGTTATAAAATGGAAAACTCACCCGAGGACTCCAGTCTCTTTCAAAATGGTTGCCTAGTCAGAATCTTGGCTATCTCTTCATTCTCTTTCATTCCCCTACCAGGAAACCATGAGTCTGCATAATACTACAGTTGTTGAGCTGTACGTGGAAGCTGGACAGCAATCAGAATCCACTGGATATTCTGGTGGAAGCATCAAGGATACCGAGAAAGCTCCTCAGAAAGGTGTGGGGTGGATTCTGGGAACACGGGGAACATACCTGCTAGCCTACCATGAGGCGGGATTCCTCTGCCCACAGGCTGGAAGCTTCTTGATGTAAGGCCCAAGTTTTGTTCACTATTATAGCCTCAGTGCCTATCACTGGGCCTAGTGCATGGTTAACATCTAAAACATTCTTGTTAAGTGAATAAATGACCCAGTGAATGAGTGAATGATTCCTTAGCCTGCGGACCAGATATGGGGATGTATGGTTACAGCTAATTCTTTCTTGGTCTCATGGGAGATACTCTGGGACTATGCTTGTGAACTGAGCTAGGTCTCCTCTGAAGAGACAGACAAGCTAGGTGAATGAGAAAGCAGGACCACAGTAAGGAAGAGTTCAACTCCCCACTGGAACAATGTGCATCAAATTCCAAGGGTTCTGATATTCACAATGCAGATAGCACCCACCCTCCCATCCAAGCCTGGCATCTAATAAACACTCAGTAAATATTTGCTGAAGTGATCAAAAATGGCAAAGTCAGAATAAAATCAAGAGAGCAAATATTTATTGAGAGTTACATGCATTGCATGTATATCATTTAATTCTCGAAAGAGTCCTAATTCAGCACATGAGTACACTGAGCATAGGTCGTTAACACAGGATAGTTATTTCACTTGTCTAAGATCTTCATTTAGGAAGTGGTGGGGCTGAGGTTCATACCAGGGAGTCTTACTTCAAGTCCCCTGCTCTTTAGAACCATGCTATGCCATGTAGCAGCATGGAACAGGAAAATCAGCAGCTCTGGGGGGAAAGTAGAGTCAAATGAAAAGAATGAATTGGAAGGGATAGTTCATATCTAGCACTTCAAGAATGTGCACTTGGGCATGTGGAGGCAGAAGTAGAAGGAGCTTCATATATACGCTCAGCAGGAATTGTGGAGGCCAGTGTAGCTGTTAAAAGGAGCTGTGCCTGAATAAACCCTTTTATCAATGATGAAGTAAGCCCCAAATACTAATAATATCTACTTGAGGGTAAAGCATTTTTTTTCTTTCTTTTTTATTTTATAATTTTTTATTAAGGTATTATTGATATACACTCTTTTGAAGGTTTCACATGAAAAAAATTGTGGTTACTACATTCACCCATACTATCAAGTCGAGTCCCCCCCATACCCTATTGCAGTCACTGTCCATCAGTGTAGTAAGATGCCACGGAGTCACTACTTGTCTTCTCTCTGCTACACTCTCTTCCACCTGACCCCCCCCATGTGAACTAGTTGTAATACTTCTCAGCCCCCTTCTCCCTCCCTCCCCACTTGCCTTCCCCCAGCCCTCCCCATTGGTAACCCTTTGGTAGTACCTTCTTGGAGTCTGTGAGTCTGTGCTGTTTTGTTCCTTCAGTTTTGCTTCATTGTTATACTCCACACATGAGGGAAATCATTTGGTACTTGTCTTTCTTTGCCTGGCTTATTTCACTGAGCATAACACCCTCCAGCTCCATCCATGTTGCTGCAAATGGTAGGATTTGTTTCTTTCTTATGGCTGAATAGTATTCTACTGTGTATATGTACCACATCTTCTTTATCCATCCATCTACTGATGGACACTTAGGTTGCTTCCTTATCTTGACTACTGTAAATAGTGCTGCAATAAACAAAGGGTGCATATGTCTTTTTGGATCTGAGAATTTGTCTTTGGGTAAATTCCTAGGAGTGGAATTCCTGGGTCAAATGGTATTTCTATTCGTAGTTTTTTGAGGAACCTCCATATTGCTTTCCACAATAGTTGAACTAGTTTACATTCCCACCAGCAGTGTAGGAGGGTTCCCCATGCTCCACATCCTCGCCAGCATTTGTTGTTCCTTGTCTTGTGGATGTTTTCCATCCTTACTGGTGTGAGGTGATATCTCATTGCGGTTTTAATTTGCATTTCCCTGATAATTAGCAATGTGGAGCATCTTTTCATGTGTCTGTTGGCCATCTGAATTTCTTCTTTGGAGAATTGTCTGTTCATATCCTCTACCTACTTTTTAATCCAGTTATTTGCATTTTGGTTGTTGAGGCGTGTGAGCTGTTTATATGTTTTGGATATTAACCTCTTGTCAGATATGTCATTTACAAATATATTCTCCCATACTGTAGGATACCTTTTTGTTCTGCTGATGGTGTCCTTTGCAGAAGCTTTTTAGCTTGATGTAGTCCCGTATTTTCATTTTTGCCTGTTTCCCTTGCCCAAGCAGATGCATTCAGGAAAAAGTTGTTCTTGTTTATATTCAGGAGATTTTTGCCTGTGTTTTCTTCTAAGAGTTTTATGGTTTCATGATTTACACTCAGGTCTTTGATCCATTTCAAGTTTAATTCTGTGTATGGGGTTAGACAGTAATCCAGTTTCATTCTCTTGCATATAGCTGTCCAGTTTCGCCAATACCAGTTGTTGAAGAGGCTGTCATTTCCCCATTGTATGTCCATGGCTCCTGAGGGTAAAGCATTTTTGATAGCACATTTCTATATATTCATTAATTCAGATAACATTTATTAAGCTCCTGCAACATGTTGGGGAATGCAATAGGAACTTGAAAAATGAACTGCACACTGATCTTGTCTTGAAAGAAAAGAATCCAGGGGACAGATAATCATGACATCATCAGAAGTATGAACAAAGCACTCGGGCGAGAAGTGTCTTATAGGACCAGTAAGAATTAACTGTGTGAACATTTCCTGCAAACTGCATTTTGGAAGGCATATTGGAAAACTACATGTTGGAAAGCAAGAGATTAGGAAATTGTAGGATGAATCTGGGAAATCAGTATTGGGGCTATCAGTTAGAGAAGTTCATGGAAACCTGATTGTGAGGTTTGGTAAGGACTGTGAACTCTACTTGAAAAGAGAGGACTCATTAAAGGTTTTTAGTCAGAGAAGTGACATAAATTTTATATTTTAGAAGGATTGTTTTTCTCCAGAATGATCTAAGAAAGGTCAGAGTGACAGAGGGACCTATTATTGCATTTAACCATGTGAGAAATGACCAGGCCATGGTGGCAGGAATAGAAAAAGATTCTGAGTATAAGTGATAGAAGCAAAACTCTGTAAGATTTAATATGTTGGGTGAGGGAAGAGTTTAAGTTGTCTCTGTTTTAAGAGTAGAAGCTATCTCCCAGCTTCTCATTTGGACAATTAGAAGAATGGCAGAACCATTTTTGATATATGGAATTCAGAAGGAGGATAAGAAATGTCTGTCATCTATCACTACATAACCACCCCAAAACTTACAATGTTACAGGAACAACTACATATTTGCTTGTGACCCTGCTCAGGACTAGCAGGGATAGCTTGACTGTACTTTGCAAAGCACTGGCTATGAAGGTTGACTACAGCTGGAGTATTCAAGAATAACCTCATTCACATGGCTGACCCATCATGCTGCTGCTGTTTGGGAGCTGAGTTATGGCTGCTGGCTGGGGTTTCTGTTCTCCTCATGAGGGCTTTTCCATATTGCTCTTCAGGTTTCCTCACAATATGGTGTCTGTGTTTTGAGAAGAAATGTCCAAAGAGGTGAAGATGGGAGCTTGAGATCTCTTGAGGCTTGGCTTCAAAAGTTACACAGCACGCTTTTGGCCAAAGTCTGTCATAGGGCCAGATTCCAGGAAAGTAGAAATAGACCCCCATTTCTTGATGGTGGAGTGGCAGAGAATTTATAGACATCTTTAATCTACCATAAGAATGCTTGAAGAAAAAGATAAGAAATTCAGATTAGGCACGTTGAGTTCAGGGTACCTGAGTGACATCAAAATGGAGCCATCAAAAAGTAGGCAAGGCAACATCAGGTCTGGTGCTCAGGGAAAAGCACTAGCTTTGGAAGACATTTGGTGGACATAAATAGTAGTTAAAATTATGGGTTACTCAAAAAAAATTATATTCTCTTGAATATAAACATGTGCAAGATTTTCCTGAACATATCTCCTCAGGCAAGCGATACAAAATCAGAATTGAACAAGTGGGACTACATCAAACTGAAAAGCTTCTGTACAGCAAAGGACACTATCAGAAGAACAAAAAGGCACCATACAGTATGGTAGAATATATTCACAAATAATTTATCCAAGAAGGGGTTAGCATCCAAAATACATAAAGAATTCACATGCCTCAACATCCAAAAAACAAATAACCTGATTAAAAAATGGGCAGAGGTTCTGAACTGCCACTTCTCCAAAGAAGAAATTTGGATGGTCAACCAGCCCACTAAAAGATGCTCCATATCATTAATCATCAGGGAAATGCAAATTAATACCACCTCAGTTAGGATGGCCAACATTCAAAAGACAAGTAACAACAAATACTGGTGAGGATGCAGAGAAAGGGAAACCCTCCTACACTGTTTGTTGGTGGAATGTAAATTGATACAACCATTGTGAAAAGCAGTATGGAGATTCCTCAAAAAACTAAAAACAGAAATTCCATTTGACCCAGGAATTTCAGTCCTAGGAATTGACCTGAAGAAAACAAGATCCCTCATTCGAAAAGACATGTGCAGCACTGTGTTTATTGCTGCACTATTTACAATAGTCAAGACATGGAATCAACCTAAGTGTCCATCAGTAGATGACTGGATAATGAAGATGTGGTACATAGACAAAATGTAACATCATTGAGCATAAAAAGAAAAGAAATCCTGCCATTTACAGCAACATGGTTGGAGCTACAGGGTATTATATTTAGTGAAATTAGCCAGGCAAAGAAAGATAAATACCAAATGATTTCACTCATTTGTAGAGTGTAAAAACAAAAGAAAAACTGAAGGATCAGAATAGCAGTAGACTCACAGACACTGAGAAGTGATTAGTGGTTACCAGTGGGGAGGTGTTGGGCAGGGTGAGTGGGGATGGAGAAGTGGATTAAGGGGCACTATAATTCACAGTCACAATATAAGTAGGTCACAGGGAAGGCAGTACAGCATGGAAAATACAATTAATGACTCTATAACATCTTAATATGATGATAGTGACCATAATAGAGGGGATGAGGACTTGATAATATGGGTGAATGTTAAAACCCCTGTGTTGTTTGCATGAAACCATCATAAGGTTGTATGTCAATGATATTCTAATAAATTTTTTTTAAAAAGAAAAAAAAATTATGGGTTACTCAAGGAGTGTGTGAAGAGGGTGAATATCAGGAGGCAAGACTGGAGATTTTAGATTTTTAGAGGTCAAGTAGAGACAAAGTTTTGCACAACAAAGGCTAGGATGCAAGACAGAGAAATAGGAAGAAAACAGAAGACAGTGGGGCCACACAAACACAGGGGAGAATTTGAGAAGGAGGGACTGTTCATTAATTTCAGATGCCATAAAGATGTCAAGAAATATAAGAAACACATGAAAATGTTCAATGGCCTTGGCAGTACAGAGGACTTTGGTGAGCTTATGAAGGCATTTCTAATAGAGTGGTGGAGATATTGTCTAGAAATTTTGGTTCAAAGATACAAATACTGCTGAATGGAGCAAAAGATTTGTTACCTGGGATACCATGTCTTTCCAACTGTTTCTTTTTTTAGAGTCATTTGGATTCCTCGTGATTGTTCAAAGACAACATAACCCCTGCATCTAAATTTACTGGAAACAATTGTCCACTTCTGGTTCAAAGGCACAATGTCAGTCCACGAATTTTTTTGGTATGTACTTTGAGATGTATGACTTTTTTAACCAACTGTTGTGTATGATGCTTGCATGACCTAGAGATTAATCATAGAAATGCACTGGAGGCTAGAGAGAATGAAGAAATAGATGAGCTCAAATCACAACCTTCTGTGGTACCCCCTTGACTACAGGTCTGCTTAAAACAATAGGTTATAACTGCAGATCTTTTTATAACTCTTGGATTATCCTTCCTTTTATTCCAGTGAAGTTAAAAATGGGATAATCTGTTAAAATTGAGGTGGCTAAATCATCCACCTCATGGGTTGATATGGTATTATAATTGCTAAATTTTAGTTATTGCATTTCAGATGCTTATAACCTAACTGAGGAGATAGGATATAATATCCATAATTTACGACTGAATAGAATAACTTCTGTGAGACAGCTGTTATGGTAGAGTACTTTGAAAACAAACTGACCTGAAATCAAACCTTGGTTCTACTTGCTGTGTGACCTTGGGCAAATTACTAAGCCTTTCTGAACCTGTTTCCTCCTTTACAAAAGGGGAAAATTATAACCAACTTATAAAATTTTTAACATTCAATGAGATAATGTCCACAAAGTGCTTGTTTCAATTCTTGGCACATTGAGGGCACTTAAAAAATGTTAATTCTTTTCCACCAATTTTTCAGTTTAATAAATATATATTGAAAGTCTGCTCTGTGCCAAGCATGCTATT